AAATTATAGTAATGCTTTTGTGGTGCTCATTTCCGGGCTCACTTTGGTGTGTTTATTAAAGCACAGTATTGTCAGATCACAGGGACTATCTCGTTTTCATTTTTATATCTCCAATTCTAAAGGGGATTAAATTATCCAATTAAGCTGTTAATTAAAAAGACTCCTAGAGAATAAACTGCAGGCTACCAATGGCATTTTAAAATTTCCATTGTGCTGTGTCCAAAAGCAATCTCCTAGAATTTAGACGACCTCAAAGTTACTGTCCCATATTTCACCTTAGAAGGTGTGGCTGGGATTCCCAGCTGATGGCCAAACCCATTTCCTCTTCTTTCTGGGCACAGAGCTGGACTATACATCCCAGTCTTCCCTGTGGTTAGGCTTAGCCACATGACTGAGCTTTAGCCAATGGAACGGGAGCAGAAGTGACAGAGATAGTTCCTGGAACCAGACCAAACCTTCCACTCAGTATCTTCATGGCCTCTTCCCCTCTACCACCAGCTTCTTGTAAGATGAGCATGTATTCAATCATGTTGAAAATGGCTGATTCACAACGCGGAAGGAACCTGGATCCCTAAATCACCAATTGGAAGAGAGAGGCTCACTGACCATTAATACCCATTCTGTATGCAATGAAAACAAGAAATAAACCTAAATTGGATTAAGCCATTAAGTTAATGTTTCAACAGCTAGTATGATCTTAATTTTTTTTAAAAAAACTGAACTTGAGGGACATGCAAATACCTTAGACCTAACTGAAAACATTCGCCTCCTTCAAATTTTGATCAGGTCCACTTAGATATTTATCTAACAATTGAATCAGACTCAATACGTCTTGGGTCTCATAAAAATTTATCATATAGACCACAGCATGAGAAATTCTAGACTCCTTGTCTCCATTCCCCCAAAGCTCCTCCTTCCTGTCCATGCCCCAGAGACCACTCATCAACTATCATTTCGATGCATCTTTCCTTCTCCCACTACCCCATACACAAGAATTCTTATTTCGAGGATCAGCTCAGAAACTAGAGCAAACTCTCTAAGAGGGGCACTAACAGGCTTCACTCAGCCACTTATTCCCTACCAATTCTGTCACCCGTCTGATACCTGTCTCCCGCCCACGGTCCCTATGGCACGCCTATGAAAAACCAGTGCTTTTTCAGGTCTTAGAACATTATCAGTGCCAGAAAGATGTTTAAGATAATCAACAAGGGACTCTACTTGTCCTACCAGCCTAACCTCAAAATGCCCCCACAGAGCAGTATGGGATCTATGGTACACCTCTAGATTTGTCTGGACTCAGGCAAGACAGACAGGCTTGTGTTGTCCAGCATCACTCATTGTCCAAAGGTCACCAGGGGATACAAAAATCCCAGGCACTTCCAGTTCTCTAAGTGTGCGTGGGGCAAAGAGGCTCCAGTAGCATGAGTGCAGCTCCCCTAGAGAGCCTGGGCCACTTAGAAAGAAAAGCACCCAGATGAGGTTAGGGTGCCCAGGGAAGGGGAGTTGCTGGGATTTGGGCAGAGAGAGAGCACCGACAGCAGCCACCAGAGGAGAGTTGAGTAATTCCTTTTCTGTGCACCAAAGCATAACCTGATGTCCTTGAATATCACCACATTCACCACAAAGCAGGGTAATTCTAACAGCTTACGGGCCTGTCTCCCACGTAAGACAAGACTATTCACTGAGGCCCAGGGACAGCATCTAATCTGCCTAATACAGCTAGTTCCATGAGATCAACAGAACAGGTGTTCAATTATGGTGTGCTGAGTGACTATAAATGGACTAGATCGTTAAAGAAAAGTGAGAGCCCATAGAGATTCTTTGGTCTGATACTAACTGTAATGTTCACCGTCATTTTGGTAAGACCAGCCCTATTGTGGCTCATAATTCCCTCAGAAGCCTCCCTTTTCCTCAATAAAAATATTACTGCATAAGCAATAAGACACCTCTGCTGACTTACATTCTGGAAGAAAATACAATGACCACCTTGCAAATCTCTCACTGTCTGCCAAGTTATGGCATTCAAATCCCACTTTCCTAAACCAAGAAACCTAGTCTACTAGGGTGCTTTGGGGGACAAACAGGACTGTCTAAAACAGAACGGAATGTGTTAACAGATACAGTCAATTATATTTTTTAAAAGAGAGTAAAACACACATACACACACATACATAAAAATAAAGAGAGAGGAAACAGAAAATCTTCAACTTTTTATTGTCCTTAAAATGACTGTTCACATTGTTCTACAAGAGAAGAAAATACAATGACCATTCAGATATAAAACGCATAATGCAGGTACACCTTTCCTCAGACCAGTGGGGGGCACAGCCACCAGTAATGAGAGTGTTGCTGCATGTAGCAAGCATATTCTTCCTTACCTTAATATGCAACTGAGACGTTATGTTAAAAATATCAAGGAAGAAGCCTATCAAATGCTAAGCAATTATGGAAATACTAAGAGAATAAATGTATTTAGAAATGGCGTAATCTAAGGGATGAAGGTTAATGCAGAGGTCAGCAGCCCACAGAACAAAGACTCTGCCTTTCCTGATTCTGGGATACTCAATAAAGCAATTTCAAACCTCTCTCCACTTCTCTGGCATGAGCATAACCCATGTGGCAAGCCATCATTCCTTGTTGCTTTTTAGCGATGCTCCAGGGCTAAAGAAGATAAAATTTATGTTTTTATTGCTTTAAGCTCCATTGAGGAAAGGCACTGAATAAACTTCAGGATAATTTACGAATCCTAAGCTTGCATCTGTCATGTCCAAGTCCATCTCATAAAAGGAAAAAATGGAAATAGGAGGCCAGTGCTGTGTGGCTGGTGAAAAGCTGAACAAACTTTGGGCAGTGGAGATAAGCTCAAATAATACCACTTTATATACATAAAATCCTTGACTAATCTGGGAGAGTTTTCAAAAAAAAAAAAACCTAACTCCTTCCAACACTCAGACAATAGTCCATTGGCAGAACATCTGGTATATGAATCAGAAAAGTATGTGACGGCAGTTCTAGTCTGTGATCCAATATCTAATTTCCTTTTGACTTACCACGATTATTTTTGTAAAACTTTATGGCTGTACTCCAGTGGATGAGCTTAGCAAGGATTGCCCAAATCCTGTCTTCTTGTCAGCAACATATTCTTCTCCCTACTTTTTTACCTTTCCTTCCACTCATGTTTTACCTTCTTCCCTCTACCACTTACTCAGAGTCTGCTTCCTGTAGCGATCTGTATTGAAGAAAAGGAACAACGAGAGTGTCATCTGAAAATGCAAACATGAGCATGTATTTGGAAATCCAATCCTACCGCAATATTGTTCTAGCTAGTACTGAGGATTTGGTATCGCTGCTTTAGGTTTATTTTGTTTTAATTATGGCCGTCGTATCCACAACTTTTTGGATATCGGACGTATGTCAAGTCAAGTTAATCAGGACAAGGCAGCCACATCATTTAGAAAGTGTAGGGCCCCAGCTGATCATCAACCAGCTGTCCTCAACCAACAACTAACTGGTGACCATTTCCACAATCTTCAGCCTGTGCTTTCAGAAATCAAACACTTTCTCTGACCTGCAGGAATGTGTTTATTTGGAGTTTAAAAAGAGAAATCTAGAAGGAAAATGCTATTCATAAAAGCGTAAGAAACCACAACTGATTTTAAATGTCCAAGTACTGGCATAAAACAAGGAGCATCTTGCACATCTAAAACAAATCAGAATGATTCCTCCAGAGAAAACACATGTCCACTCCCAGCAGACCCACCCTAACTGCCCTTGCTTTTAAGAATATGAACAAAGGTCATATTAAGCCTTGGTTAAAAGGAAGAAAAACCAGCGGCTCTTCAAAAGTTGATTCATTCAGAGAGGAGGAGGTCAAGGGGAAAATCACTCTCCCCTAAAGCAGTGTAACTGTTTCCTCATGATGCTGCCCCTGCAATTTTCTCCCTTCAGAAGTTCCCACAGTTACGAAAAGACATGGCACGAACTTAACATTTAAAAAATAAAAAAGGACAACAAATCACAGGGGTGCAAAATGGCCCCACAGTTAGTCTGAATTCGTCCTTTTGCTTTTGAGATTTTCCTATCGGCCAAAACTGCATATACAATGAATAATGCACAGGGAGGAAAGTTATTTTAAAAAACTTGAAATGCCAGATTAAGGCCATCACAATTTTATCCTACAGATACACACTAATAAGAGATGGACGAGTTCACATGAAAGCATCAAGTCCTGAGGATCAAAAACTTAGTCCTGCTCTTTCTAACAGACTCTTTAGAAGGCTTAGACGGTGAAAATTATGTTTCTTTGAACTATGCAGGGAATTCTAAATTTAATCAATAAATTCTAAAATGTCTTCAACAAATTTTTCAAAAAGCATTTTTCAAAGAGAGGTAACATTAACCAAGCCAAAACGTTACTTCTCACCCACTTCAATGTAGTATCTGTTCCTTTAAGCTAAAGGGGGAATAAAAGCCGTAAGTTCCTAACGGAGAATCAGAAAATCATTTTCTCAATGTCTTCTCATTTCAGAAACAGAAAAATGCACATACATGAGGGTAATGAGACAAGTAAGAATTGGACAAAAGAAAAGTGTCTGTCAGAGAGACATAATCATTGAGGCTTGGGCAAAAGAGATCAAATGGTGGAGATTTCATCTCCTCGTGTCTCCACTGTTGCGTGATGAGGAGTTTTGACTTCTTCTGGGCCTTAAAGACACATCCTTTTTTCTTTTCTCTATTTGAAGAACTGAAACCCTTTTTCAAGTAGCCTTTCGGCCAGCTTTGTTTATGCTGACTTAAACAGGGCAATCAGCTACGTCAGACAGAAGCTGCAAGATGCATTTTCATCCCAACAAACTTCCGAACTGAAGGCAAAAATTTCAGCAAAAATTGCAAAATGAAGCTCCAACACATTTCTAACTTAAGCACCACTGAGTTAATAAACGTGGTTGATGGTGATACGCAAAACCTAGCAGCAGCGCATTCCGTAGAGCCGCAAGACCTACCAGGTGTTCCAGGAACATGTTTTCATCATTGAGGGTTACACATTCAATAGACCAAATTTTTTTCTGGATACATTATGCTTAGGTCCCTGCGAAGCTGTGGCTTAGATGGTATATACCACCTAGCTGTTTCCACACTAAAAATGGGCAAGAGCAACAATTTAGCAGATAATGTTTTAACAAAAGTAGCCTAGAGATTTATTTCTGTTAGTCTGGTTTTGTAAAGAAACATACTGAGATCCCTTCTTAGATTCCATTTTTTGAGCCCTACAATTTGAATATACTGTTTTGATCCAACCAACACCCAAATATGGAAGATGCACTAAAAAACTGAGTCCTGGGGGGTGGGGCAGGGAATACAGGCTGACAGCAGTGGCGACGAGCGCTCCGTGTGGCCTCTACTGGTACTGCGTGGCTCTTGGGATGGCATAAACCAACGGTCCAGCTACCAGAGTCGGCAGGAGTCCAGGCCTCTGTTCATCGTGGAATTCGATGGACAGTTAAAGGCTTTCTGGAATTCTTCGAAGTTGCTAACTGCACCATTGACCCTGGAAAAGATATGTCACAGCTCATGTCATTTAATTCTTCCATCTCAAGAGGTCCTGGAAAAAAACTGTAACAGCATACTGCTCACAGGGATGTTGCATTCTTTTCATCTGTTTACAGGGGAGACAACTGAAGCCCAAAAGGGAGAAGTAAATTTCCAAAGAAATTCACAGAGCTGAGACTAGAACCAGCACCTCCTGAATGTCAGACAAATGCCCTGATTAATCTTCCCAATACCCTCAAATTCCTATCAACTGTATGATTTACAATTCCTATAAATCATGTATGTGATTGTATAGTCCTATAAATTTACAGATTCCTATAAACTGTTAGATTTACCAATACCTGGGCTTTCTATTTTTTTAACTTTTATGGAAGGTATAATTGATATAAAGTGCACACACCTGAAATGTAAAGCTCACTGATTTTGTTCATGTGTGTATACTCATGTTACTACCACCCAGAACAAGATATGGGATATTACCAGCACCTAGAAGGCTCCATCATGTGCCCTACCAGTGGAGCTTCCAAGGATAATTACCAGTCTGACCTCTATCACCACTGATTAGTTTTGCCTGTTTTTGAACTTCGTATGAATGGACTCCACAGTACGCATTCTGTTGTTCCTGCCTTCTTTTACTCAATATTATGTCTGTAAGATTCATTCATGTCATTGCTACCTAAGACCTCACCCAATCTACAAAAACACTTTCGTTTCATTCCTATTACATTTGAAGGTTCAGATTTACCTCAAATTCAGTCCAGGCAACAAACTAATGAATGGTATCTACTCGTTATTGATGAGCAATGTTTTACCGGAGTTAGTTCCAAAATCTGGTGTCCTTACAAGTTCCCTGACTGCAGTAAAGACGGTGGATTCCTACTCAGCACTTTGGTTGGCAGTGCTATTTCCACTGTGTGATTTCTGCTGTACTCAAAATCTATAGTTACTGCAGACATCACTAACAAGCCAGCAAAAACTGCCCCCTCATCTATTTCTTACTCAACTGCATGTTCAGAGTGTTGACTAGAGAGACTCAGCATTCTTAGTTACTATTTCTTCCCTAATGACTATGTGACCTATGGGCATGTGAAGGAATATAGTGGCCTGTATTCAAACCTCCTGTGTTTTAGCTGGGATATATGAGTAGGGATGCATCTATCATAGTGTGATTCACCCTGGGCAAATGCTAAAGAGAATTTAGCTGGTAATTAGTAAGTATACTCTGTAAATTATCAGCTAAAATCCAGTATTACAGGCAACTAGTTAGTAAAAGGAAATTAGTTTCTAAAAATCTTACCTGTTAAGTAATTAATCTACTGTGTGGTTTCTATCTGCACAACTCACAACTCATCAGTGGGAGCATATTTTAGTTCATTAGAGACTGTCAGCATTTTTTGACCGTTTAGCCCAGTGGGGTAGAATTTTCTAACACTGTGATTAGATTTTTATGCTCCTGGGTAATTTAGAGTCAATTTCTGAAACATTTCTAAAGCAAGGTTTTAGGAGTAAGATTTTTAAATATAGGAGAAAATTTAGATGATTTTCCTACACTGCGCCGATGGATTCATTTAAACATTAAACATAAGGATATCCAGGTATGACATGCTCTAAGGAAAGAATTGGTCAATAAAAAATTACTATAGTTTCTTATATAGCCCCCATTATAATTCTCTGACCCCAACTACAGAAAATCTCAAACTGGACTAGAAACCTAGCACTGGGTAAATACCCTAACCTTAATTTTATTTTTACTTGTTATTTCATCATTCTGACAATTAAGATTGCAGGTCATAATCCTTTTCCCTTCATTTGAAGCAACTGTTTCAAAAAATGATTCAAACTAAAAGCCAAAACATAGTGCTTTGACTTCAGATATGAATTCTAATAGCTAAATATCCCCATACATCCTGTTTTGTGTTCAGAGCTATTCGGAAAGCGGGCATTGATTCATGTCGGCCAGCTGGCTGCGTGGAAAAACAAGAAGCATGAAACAGGATACTCTAGAACACAAAATGCACCAGAGCTCTGTGTGCTTTAAGGTACCGTATGTGAGCTCTCATCCTTGTCTAAGGAAAGAGACATTTGTGCTCACACACAAAAAAACATAAGTGGTTGGATAAATCAAATATTCCCATTTACTAAGCCATGGTGCTCATGGCACCCCTGGACTGGGGCCTTGCAAAAACTGGAAGATAATAAATGAGAAATAATACTAAAGTTATGATTTGGATTCTAAATTACCTTTGGAGTCTTGTACTATCTCAAGGATCTCCTGTTATAGCAATGGGCTAGAGGCATGCACAAATGCTTACCACGAACATTTTTTTTTTTTTAAAAGAATGCGGACTAGCTTCCTGCTAGTGAAAGAAAAGGTGCTCAGTTTCTCTTTGGTCAAGTAGTTCTGTCTGCAAAATGGAGAGACTGCTGTTCACAACACAGGCTCTTGTTCTGATCTCCTGTTTGGTATAACACTGGGACAGCTGAATCAGGGAAGAGGTAGGACATGCACAGTTTAAAAAGAGGATCACTGATTTGCCCATTTACCTAAACTGAGGGGGGCTGTGAGCACCAATTTGGATTTGTTCTCGGGCAGCTTCTGGTCTGTAGGAATTACACCTCACCTATAAGAGAAAAGCATGCCAATAATTATGTTTCCTTTCCAATTACACACTTTCTACCTCCTTAACTGCTCCAAATTATACTGAAGAGTAATTTTAGACTCAGTGGATGACAAACAGTTTTAGTAGATCAGGTAAAACCTTCACCAGTAACAGCATCTATTATTCTAATCCCCAGCATAGAAGGTTTTATTGTTGTGCATAATTCCACAAATTGAGTAAATTAGGACAGTTTCCAGACACATTTCTTAAATCAAGAAAACACTGTATATGTCCTGGAATCGACCAATGTATTAATTCAAATAATATAATGCTTGGAAGAGGACTTACCAAATTCAACCATACTCACTCCAACAGGAAAAAAAATGAATCCATCATCTATTACAGAGTATGGTCATGGGAAGTGAGTGTTTTGCACCCTAAGTGCCTTGCTTGTGTCACCCCTAGTCAGGGCCTTGGATACGAAGACCCTTCTCCATAGACAGGGAAGTTAGGCAAAGCTCTACGACTTGCTCTGATCCATGAAATGTGAGCAGAAGTGATAGACAGCACATCCTTGTGGAAGCTTTAAAAACCTAGCACAAGTTCTAAGCATCTTAAGAACAATTTAAGAAGCCACATGAAGGTCCACTGTACACTTCCTCATACCACTTCCTCATACCACTTTCCTACTCCAATGGTGAACATGTTAAGCATGTGTTGAGATCAAGACTCCAAAACCCAGGTCCTTGAGTAAAAACTACTACTAGAGCAGAGCCCCTCTCTCAACCCACACTGGATGGGGGGCATGAACACAAAAGAAACTGTCTTTGTATTGCTTGTTCCTGCACCGTAATTTACTCAATCCTGACTTGCGATGTGTCTGGAAACATGATATAATCTTGAAGTATGAAAAGAACTGGGAGACAAGCAATGACGGGGTGCATTCCAAGTGCAGAAGAAAATAGAAGCAAAGACCTATCTGAGAGGGAAAAAAAAAAAACCGAGACATTCCATGTAGCTGGACTGCGTGGTACATAATGGGCAGTGATGGGAGACCAGGGTAGAGAGAGGATGTTGCCAGTTTTCTGAAGTCTTGAGCCACAAGCTAAAGAATTTAAACCATATTTAAACACTATTTGTGAGCAAGAAAATGATAAAATCATGTTTTTAAAAGAATTATCTGGCAGAGGAAATTAGAGATCAGTTTGAAGAGTATAAATTTATGGGCCCCAGGAAGGTTGCCGATGAATGGCCACTAAATAAGGATCAACAGGAATGGAGAGAAGTAGAAAGATAAGGAGAATATCTGAGGAAAAAAAAATTAACAGGTAACATAAACTACAGGGACACAGGAAACAGGAAAGCGGATATGCTGCTATTGCTTTTGATGAAGATAAACAGTCTGACTGTGACTGTGAAGACACTTTCGCAATGTGATTCCTTCATTTCCTCAGAAGCTAGCTAAGTTGAGGTTGTTGCCCACATTCACCATTACCTCACTTTTTTGTGTGTTATTTCTTCTTATATTCTTACATAATTGTATGGTATTGTTTTAGCGCTGTCTTTGCTTCACAAACCATTTAAGAGACTTCTGAAAACACATTATGGTTGTTACTGTTTTCCTAGAATCCTTTCAGGAGGGAAAATAACTTCACTCCCTACAGGCAGACTTCTTCCAAAGTGCAAAAGACTGAAAATCTCCTCCTTCTGTCAGTAGGAAAACCTCCAAGATAAATTTCTCATTAGTAACATAAAATAGCTTTTCATTTTTTCCCTAAATCTCTTTAGTTTAAAATAAATCAGATATGCTTTGGAATTTTATTTGAAGACATTTCAAAAATACCGAAGGTTGGGGCGCCTGGGTGGCTCAGTGGGTTAAGCCGCTGCCTTCGGCTCAGGTCATGATCTCGGGGTCCTGGGATCGAGTCCCGCATCGGGCTCTCTGCTTGGCAGGGAGCCTGCTTCCCTCTCTCTCTCTCTCTCTGCCTGCCTCTCTGTCTACTTGTGATCTCTCTCTGTCAAATAAATAAATTTTAAAAATCTTTTTAAAAAATTATGAAGGTAATGTTGCTACCAATTAGTTTACACACAAAAAGATATAACTAAAGGGGCACCTGGGTGGCTCAGTGGGTTAAGCCTCTGCCTTCAGCTCAGGTCATGATCTCTGGATCCTGGGATCGAGCCCCACATGGGGCTCTTTGCTCGGCAGAGAGCCTGCTTCCCTCTCTCTCTCTGCCTGCCTCTCTGCCTACTTGTGGTCTCTCTGTCAAATAAATAAATAAAAAACCTTTAAAAAAAAAAGACATAACTAAGACGGGCTTTAATTAAATAAGTTAACATCCGAAGGAAGAACCAAAGGACATTGTGCTTTGTCCTCTCAACCAAGGGTCAGCACATTTTTTCTGTAAAAGGGAAGACGTTAAATATTTTAGGCTTTGTAGACCAGAAGGTCTCTGTTTCAACTACTCAGTTCTGCCACTGTCACACAAAACCAGCTACCCACAACACAAAGGAAAGAGCATGGCTCTTTTCCAATAAAAGAGTTTTACCAAAAATGGGCAGCAGACCATATCTGGCCCATGGGTCCTAGTTTGCCGACCCTTGCTCTAGAAAATTCTAACTATATTGTGTGTGTTTTTTTTGAGATATCTGACCCAGTACTGACCCCCCTCCCAAAAAAAGCCTCCTTAACTGAACTGTTACTTACTCTTACCATTTTTAAGCAATTCATCTAAAAATGTCAAGATTTTCAATATACCCAGCATCTTTGCTGGGTGCTATGGGGATACATAAGAAATACAGGGATCCAGAAGATTAGCTATGGAGATAAAACTAAAAGTCCTCAACATTTTGAGAACATTTAAAGACTAAACTGCATAGTAATGAAGAGAAGTGTAAAGGAGCTGGAGATTCAAAAGAGAGAGAGAAAGAGAGAACTGGAGTCCTTGGGGAAGTTTGTGGAAAATGTGGAGGAGGTGGAACTCAACATGGAGCCTGAAAGATAACGACAGGATTAAATCATCTGAGGGGGCGGAGTACGAAGGAGGTCACATTACAGAAGGAAAATCAAAAGCAACGCCCCAGAGACAGTAACAGGCCTAACACTGCCGGGTGGCCAGGAGGACGCCTGCTTGGCTAAGGGTGAGTGTGGCGGAGCCGCAAAAACTCAGAGCTGGTTGCATAGAGTGGGATAAGACTGGACACAATGATGAGAGCCAGCTGCACGTGCTTGGCCTCGATGTGGGAGTCACTGCAGTTCCCTGAGCAGGTCAGTAATGAAATAAAATGTAGTATTTCAGGGGCATGTAAGATAGTGGTGGAAAGACGCCAAAGGCAGAAAAACATGCCTTAAGGCTGTTGGGATAATGCAGAATAGGAGAGCTCAAGGGCCTTCTACACAGGATGAGATACAGGGTAATGGGGAGAAAGAGAGAATGAATCTAAAGAGAAGATAAAAGGATGAAACATCCAGCTTTGGGAACCCATGTCATAAAAACAAGGACAGACAAATCAAGTAAGAGAGAAGAATCTAGATTTTCTAACCGGGAAGACCCAAAGACCAGGCTGTGTTGAGACCAACAGGAAGACTAAAAAGGGAGGTCATTTCAGTGACTCCAGGTACGCTGCTGTCATGTTGATAAAGCAACATTTATGTAGTGCTGTCATGTCAGCTTTAAGAAATAAAAGATACCAGAAAGATGGGACTCCTTTAGCCAGGCTCAACCAGAGAAGATGTGGGAAGGAATCAGCTTACTGAGGAGACAGTGAAGACTGAACAAAAGAAAGTTGTGCTGGTAACAACCGTGGTCTTAGGGATACACGTTTGCCCACTGTGAAGCCATGTGTTAGAACCTTCATTGGCTCATCCCTGCCTGCTTTGAAAATGAGGCCTACACGTTTGTGACATAAGCCCAGGCGATAACCAATAGCAACCAAGAACTGGCGCTTATCTCATTAGCCAGAGACTTGAACTCAGAATTGTGTGTTTTTTTAGTACACATCTTCTTTCGCTTTCTGCTTGGAAAGCCCATCAAAGTCACAAATGAGTGAGATGACTCTCCTTGGTTTTGTTGTTGTTTTCAGCTCAAGCAGTCTTCACATATCCACCTGACTGTGGAAAAGACAGCTTTGAGGGTCTTCCACAGGTTGAAAGTGGTAGGATACAGTCAGCCAATGAGGCAAAAAAAAAAAAAAAAGAGAGAGAGAGAGAGAGAGAGAGAGAACAAAGAGAAATGCAGCAGAAGGCAGAGTCCCAGAAGCCAAAGAAGGAATCACTAGAAATGGTTATAAAGTGTAGTGCATACATTAAGAAGTCAGCATATATTAAAGAAATACCAAGTGGGTTATGATAGGACTGGTCACCCACTTGACAAACAACACCGATAAACCCTGACTTGATTGGTTCATTAATTATGTCTCACAGAACATTTAAAAGGTGAAATTTATCCTGAAAATAAACAGCAAGATCACATTTCAACTAAAATCAAAGCTATACCACTGAACTTCTGACCACGGGAGCAAGCTGAAATCCCGCATTTTATCTTTGCAGCCCCTTCCTTGGCCTACTCACGTGAGCATAACTCAGGAAGAAGAGCTGGTTGTTGGTGAAGACGATGCCTGGGAGCAGAGGCTCTTCGACTCCCTGCCTCTTGTCGTTTATCCACTGCCTGTAAGCCTGGAGAGGGAAGCAGAAAGGGTGATCCCCTGCAATGCTGGCCTTCCTCTTTTCTCATCCAGGGCCGAGATCCTAAATAGATCCCCCACCAGGAACAAAGTGCAGCCTGTCAAGTTTTCCTTTAACAAACCAACCCCTGGAAATGCAAATCAATGTTGTGTAGCTTAACAGTGCGGCAGCTGCACCTGTGAGAAGACCTTACACTCAGTAGATACCAGAGCCCCTGGGCCAAAGCAGTGTTAAATAATTCCTCCCCCACCAAGAAGTTATTCTTTTCCTAATGCAATGGCAAGGGCTGTGGAAACAAATGTGGGGGTTAACATATGGGGCCAAATTTTTCTTTTTCCAAATAAAAAGGAAAACTCACCGTCATTTTAGAAAATATATGTTAACCAGAATATAGGAAGGGCGTAACCTCAGAATAATACTCTGGTCTTGACGTTAAATGCATTTACCTTTTTGAAAATCTTCCCACATCATCCTTACATTTCTTGTTTAACCAAGGACCAGTGGATGATGGAAACATTATTAGGGACTCTCACCTGCCCCCCCCAACTATATGAGAACCACTAGCCTCTGGCCACAATTCAGAAGTTTGGTATTTTAAGAGAAAATTGCAAGAAGGGCTATAGAGACAGTATACTCAAGGAAAACTCATATGAACGTAGCCCTGAGGAGATTTCTGTAGCATGTTTTGATATTATTGTGAATGCATCTACTGAAAGCTATCCTTTAAATACATGATTCTTAACATTTATTATTCTTTAGGGTGACCTTAACCCCAAAAAGAAAAAAAAAAGAGAAAGGCAGCTCTATTCATATAATAAAGCAGGACAGAGTTGATGTGGAAATATAATTCTATTTACAGAAATTCACAGAATTGACAGAAATCTAACTCCTCAAGAATATGTCTGTAGTGCAAATTGAGGGACACCCACATGGCACTCAATAGTTTAATTTTAAAAATCACAGCAAATGTTGCAGTACGCACCCTAAAAGCTTCCCGCAGACCTCCATTATCAGCAATATTTTCTCCCAGGGTCCTCTTCCCCTTCACCTAACAAAGAAAAAGAAAAAAAGAGTGTTTCTCAGCCAACTATCATTCAGCAAGAGGCATAAATGTGATAGCTAGGGAGAGTACCATATTTTAAAAAGAAAATTACATGGACTAAATCACAGGTAGTCATAATATATTGTGAGATGGCAAACTAACTCCAGCAAGGTGCTTCTGAATATAATAATTTCTATTTTATTATGCTACACGTTTCTTTCTCACCCACCTCTGTATTCTCACCAATTGAGCCAACTCCAATAAAATGTTAACAATATTCTGAGTGACTCTGGTTTAATGGAGTAAAAGTAGAAATGTCAATACAGACTACTTTCTCTGATTAATTCATATCATTTGAGTATTCTTTTTGGTGTGCTTTGTGTTTCCAAACATTTACGATCCACACAGGAACAAAACTTCATGAACCATCACCATTTTACCTTAGCAACGTCCATGAAAAATTAAAAGGAGGGTAGTTCTCACGGCGGGGGGGGGGGGCGGGGATCAAACAGAAGTAGCCCAGGCCACAAGGTCAAGGTTTGCAATGTGTAGGATAACCGGCCAAGCATGGTGAAAAAATTCCTCCACACCTTTGAAGACTGTTTCTGAAATCCCTACATAGGACAGGACAAAAAAACGTTCCAAACCAATACAGACCACAAGCCAGAATCCAACCTGCCCCTTTCTTCTACACAGGCTACAAAGTGAAATCAGACTTCACATGACTCAATGGGTGGGGTATGGGGAGAATGCAAAAGAAGGAGAATATTTTGTGGCATGTGAAAATTACACCAAGTTCAAATTCAGTGTGCATAATTCAAGGTTTATTGGCATGCAGCCATGCCCAGTCGTGGATGTACTGTCGCAGCCACGCTCCTGCCACAGAGACCTATGGCCTGCAAAACCATGCTTACTTACCATAATTACCCTTTGCAGACAAAGCCTGTCAATCCCTGCCTAAGGGGCAGAATAATGCCTCCCACCCACCCACCCAAGGTGTCTATGTCCTAAATTCCTGGAACCTGTGCAAATGTTACCTTACGTGGCAAAAGGAACTTTTAGAATATGATTATATAAAGGATTCTGAGACATTAGCCTGCATTACCCAGGCGAGTGCAGTGTAACTAGAAGGGTCCGTGTAAGCAGAGGAATAGGGGGTCAGGAGAGTGTGTCAGAGTGATCCAATGTGAGCTGTGACCAGACACTGCTGGCTTTGAGGAAAGAAGGGGCCAGGAGCCAAGGAATGTGGCCAGCCTCTAAAAGTGAGAAAACACAAGGCGACAGATTCTTCCCAGAGCAGCTAGAAAGAAAAGCAGCTCTGCTTACACCTCGACTTGAGCCCGCTAAGACCTGAGTGGGACATAGAGAGCTGCAGGACAGGGTTTGTGTTCTTTCAGGTCATTAAGTGTGTGGTGATCTGTGATGGCAGCAACAGGAAACGTACACACCCCATTCTCAACTTTAAAGCCGTGAATCCTACGCACTCTTTACTTTTAAGCTAGGCCAGTCACCCAGGTATAAAGCAGTCACAATGGATAAAAACAACTCTTCAGAAAACATTTATTTCTGTAATCACCCAGGACCCTCCTAGCTTCGGTCCCCCGAAGTTCCCCTCCTGCTCTGACATACATTCTTTCTTTTACGACAATCCTCCATCGTAAGTGCTATTACCACCACCTTGCTTAACACATGGGGAAAGAAGAGCTCAGAGCGTGTAGCACATGTCTTTGGTGTTGCACCAGATCCCCGTTTCCACCAGGACTACACACCCATTCCTACAACTGCTCCTAGCTCAAGAAGGTTAACCTTAGCTTAGCGGAGTCGCCTCACCTGAAGATTCCTGGCAGGTGATCCCCTACTTCTCAAGAACTAACTGATGTGCACTGAGAACTGCCTAGCCCCTTACCCCAGTCTGAACAATTTCTGTGGTGCGATTCAGGCTCCAGAACCTTCTATGGGATCAGGCTGAGGCTAAACTCCTGAAACCAACATGTTTTCTATTATAGGTTTCTCTTGAAACCAACCACCATCTTATAGGTTTATCCTGAAACTACCTCCTAAGTAAGTCACTTACCTAAGAAATCCCTTCCTGGGCTTTGCTTCCAGTGAACTTGATTCAAAACAGTGATTAAAGGAACTGCCCACATTTCATACAGATTGAAACCCAAGCAGTTTGTTTCCAGAGCCTTTGCTTCATAATATGCTCTCTTGTCATGTCGCAACTGCTCTTGATTCCAGCGCTTCTGTTTACATCTACTCACACTCGAATTTAATCTCCTTCCTCTAAGCTTTATCAAAATCAGAGGTCTGGGGAGTAGCCATCCCCCTTTGGCTCCTCCCACTCTAGACCACCTCAGTAGACCATATGGCCATAGGTTTGCCTCCAAGCCTCACGAGCTGCTCATGGTCTACTTCTGTGGCACTCTGCTGGAGCCCTCTCCAGTTCACTGCCAAGGATTCAGGCACAGGGGACTGGCATCCAGGAATGGAGCCAGAAAATAAAGCACAGAATCTTATATCCACGAAGAAAGTCAACCTTTCTTCTCTGGGAACAAAACTGAAACTGTCTCCTGATGGTTGAATGGATGGATGCTGACACAGGCATCCCCTTTCTATGGTCCTTGTGACAAAGGTACACATTTACCAGAATTCACTCTCAGTATCTGACATTTTAGCCCATATGGATGCTGTAGAATAGTCCTCCCACCAACACACCACCCAGGACTAAAATGAACTTAAAAGAAGAGAACGATAGCATGATATAGGGGGCAAGAATATGGATCTTCGGGGGCGCCGGGGTAGCTCAGTCGGTTAAGCGTCTGCCTTCAGCTCAGATCATGATCCCAGGGTCCTGGGATCAAGTCCCCCATCGGGCTCCCTGCTCAGAGGGGAGCCTGCTTCTCCCTCTGCCTCCCTCCCCCTGCCTATGCTTGCTTTCTCTCTTTCTCTCTCTCTCTCTATCTCTGGCAAATAAATAAAATCTTAAAAAAAAAACAGAATATGGATCTTGAAATCACACCAATCTAAATCTAATCTAGGCTCTACTGTGGGTTTTTGTCTCTTTGAGTCTCAGTTTTCTTACATGTAAAACAGGCTAGCAATATGTACACCTCTCGGGACCAGTATGAGGATTAACTTTGTTTCAGGTAGGCGAAAAGTATAACACCCAAGCCTACAGTAACAATCATCAGGAGATATGTATTCCCTTCATCAAAAAAAAAAAAAACTGCTCTTCTATTGTTGTTTGTTTGGTTTTCAGCCCCCAAATCTTTGCCTTTGTTTTCCCCTAGGATGGAGTACCTATGAGTATGTCGCAGTAATATCAGCTACAATTTACTAAGCACGTCCTGCACGTCAATGATGCTGGTGCTTTACATAGTCTCAGTCATGTACTTCTTACAAATGAATGAGTTCCGAAACAGTGACCCATTTCACAGAGGAAGACTCTCAGAGTCAGGAAGGTCAAGGAACTTTCCCATGTTCACAAAACTTGTAACTGGTTGAGTCAAGATTTGAACCTCTATCTGACTCTAGAACCCCTCCCCTAAGCTCTTCCTGAAGCAACGTATAATCTAGATGGATTTTCACAGTGTGACAACCTCTACATTGAATATAGATAAACGGGGCACCCATTTCAGAACTTCTCATGACTTACTTGTAGATATTAAAGAAATATATGGGCAGAGAAATAAATGGCTTCCCAGAACAGTGATGAAAGAGCTAGAGATACTATTCAAGGATACAGCCTCTGGTTTCATTGCCTGGACAAGGAGTGGCATTCCTGGTGCTGAACATGGCTAAAGAACTAGGAGAACCAAGACAGTTTTGTGTGTTCTCTTGCTTCTGTTATGTGCTGTCCCCCTGACTGTACAGTGTAGGAGCATACAGTGTGTGCATCTATATTTTAGATTAGTAAAGGATTTCCTACAGATCCATACCCTACCAACAATTCTTCATTACTAGTCTCTTACTGTCAAATACAACGAGAGAAATCCATTTTTTATAATTATGAAAGCAGGAGCAGAAAACACAATAAAAAAGTATAAGGAAAAGTTAATAGTTATGGAGAGGGCATGAAAACCTGACCAAACCAGCAAAATAAGGAAAACAAAAAAGAAGTAAGAACAATGTGGAGGACATAAAGTATATATAGAAAACTGTAGAGTTGTATTGGAAAACTTAAAACAGGAATCAAACAGATAGAAAGGTATACCATGTTCTTGAACAAGAAGACTATATTACAAAAAATATCAATTCCATCCACTGAGTATGATTTAACTTAGAATCCCAATGGGATTTTCTTTGGGGGACAGGGTGAGAATGGGTAACATGATCTTGGAACATATACAGAAGTATATTTGCCTGAGAAAGGCCAAGCACATAAAAGAGCAGTGAGGGAGACCTTGTATTGACAGATACCAGAATAATCCATATAGCCATGGTAATAAGACCTTGGTGTAGAACTGAACATACATACCAGCAGAACAGAATACCTAATCCAAAAATTGATGTCAATATATAGGAGAATCTAAAATTTGACAAATACTCAATTCAGTGAGAAAAAATATCTTTTAATCAATGATGTTGGATCAACTCTATCCTTTTAGAAGAAAAGAATTCTCACATTAAACTCCATAAAAAGGGGACGCCTGGGTGGCTCAGTCATAAGCATCTGCCTTTAGCTCTGGACGTGATCCCAGGGTTCTAGGATCAAGCCCCAGGTCATGCTCCCCGCTCAGTGGGGATTCTGATTCTCCTTATCCCTCTGCCTCTCCTCCCTGCTTGTGTTCTCTTTCTCTGTTTCAAATAAATAAATAAAATCTATATAAAAGAAAACTCCATAAGAAAGTGCAAGTTTCACATGCATGAAGATTTAAATATAAAATTAAAAAACCACAGAAACCTTCCCAGAAAAGCCAAGAGACTATATATATGATATAGGGTGGAAATGCAAAAACTATTTTTTAAAGTTTTTTTAATTTATCGATCTGAGAGAGTGAGAGAGAAAGAGCTTGAGCAGGGTGAGGGAAAGGAGAAGCAGACTCTCTGCGGAGCACAAAGCCTGGTATGGGGATGTGGGTCTCAATCCTGGAGTTCCAGGATCGTGAGCTGAGCCAAAGACAGACGCTTAACCCACTGAGCCACCTATGCATCCCTATTTTTTAAGAGAAATAGGTATCTTTGGATCTATAGAAATGTTTAATTTTTGTATGTCAAAAGATGCCATACATGAAATCTAATGGATGCTTAATATATTTGGGAGAAAATTCTGTAATGTGAATGACAAAATTCTAACACCTGTAATATCTTTAAAAAGTTCTGATACATTGGTGAGAAGATAACTGAAGAGAGAAATGCTCTTTCATATACCACTGGTGGAACTATGAATATTATAACTTCTTGGTGACAGTAGGAATCTATCCTAGATGGATAAAAAGGATATGTACACAATGAGAGGTTTTGTTACAGCAGCATTTACTGTGGGAAAAGAGCTGGAGACAAAGCGTGACCTATCTCAATAAGAGGTTAGGTGAATATGTTAGATTACGTTCCCACTGTGGACTTCTAGACAGCAACTGAAAACCATGCAATAAAGGGGCCTGTGGTGTGTGTTTATCTCTTCGCGAGCATGTGAAACAGTGTACCAGGGTGATTAAGATGAATGACAGGCAGGGAAGAGAAGAGTGATAAGAGGGGAAGGGGTGAAGACAAGAAAGAAATAAAATGTGATGCACATGAACGGCAACTATAAAACTTCATTCTTGCCTTCATGGACATGTATTATGTATGTATAATATAAAATAAATGTCTTAGAAAGACATTTCTTTTGTTCAAAATTCTATAACTAAGAACTCTTAACAAATTCAGAGTCATTAATTCAAAATAATGAGATTTATTTCAATGAATTAAATAGTAATTTGGAAGGAAATTTTTTAAAATGATATGGAGTGTAGATTCATAAGAGTTGTATGGTGTATGTTTGCTACAAGATTTTCTACATTTATCTAAATCTAGAAAAACGAACTCATGTTTAGGCCTGTGAGTCTCAAACTTGAGCTTTAATCAGAGTCACCTGAGGGCTTGGGAAAAGACAGACTGCCAGAAGACCAGTGCCCGCCTCCCTCCAGAATTCTGGGTCAAGAGGTCTGAAGTAAGACTCAATTAGCATCTCTAACAAGTTTCCAGAAGAGGCTGATGCTGTTGTCCTGGGAACCACACACTGAGAACCAATGGTCTAAAGCCAGTAATGTCCAAAAGAGAAAAAATAACCACAAAACACCGTAGTTGTACTTACATTTAAGCCAGCTTTCCTCCAATAGTAGTTGCTATATTGGTTAACCATGCACTTTGTTTTTTCTTTAAACTTTTCTTCTGAGTCAGCAGACCACCAAGGATCCAGGTTTCCATTTTTATCATATTTTCTACCTATCAAAAAGGAAAGTTAAAAGATATTTGTACCACCTATGTTCTCTTCTAGGGTTTTTACGGTTTTAGGCCTCACATTTAGGTCATTCGTTCACCCATTTTCAACTTATCTGTGTGTGTGGTATAAGAACACGGTCCACTTTCATTCATTTGAATGTTGCTGTCCAGTTTCCCAGAAGCATTTGTTGAAGAGACTGTCTTTTTTCCAATGGATTATTTTTTTGCCTGCTTTGTCAAAGATTAATTGATCATGTATTTGTGGGCTCATTTCTGGGTTTTCTAGTCTGTTCCAATGATCTATGTATCTAGGTTAGTGCAAGAACCATACCGTCTTGATGACTAAAGTTTTGTAATAGAGCTTGAAGTCTGGAATTGTGATGCCCTTGTGCCTTGCTTTTCTTTTTCGAGGTTGCTTCGGCTATCTGGGGTCTTTTGTGGTTCCATACAAATTTTAGGATTGTTTGCTCTAGCTCTGTGAAAAATGCTGGTATTATTTTGATAGGCATTGCATTATTTTTCCAAAGAAAACATACAGATGGGCAACACAGATTTGAAAAGATGCTCCACATCACTCATCAGGGAAATGCAAATCAAAACTACAATGAGGTATCACCTCACATCTGTCAGAATGGCTAGTACCAAAAAGATAAGAGATGACAAGTGTTGGCGAGGATGTGGAGAAAAAGGAGCCCTCCTGCACTGTTGGTGGCAATGCAAACTGGTGCAGCCACCGTAGGAGACAATATGGAGGTATTCAAAAAGCTAAAAATAGAATTGCCCTATGACCCAGCAATTACACTACTGGGTATTTATCCAAAGGATACAAAAATACTGATTTGAAGGGGTACATGCACCCCAATGTTTATAGCAGCATTACCTACAATAGCCAAATTATGGAAACAACCCAAATGTCCATCAACAGATGAATGGATAAAGAAAAAGTGGTGTATAAAGAGAAAGTGGAATATTACTAAGCCATAAAAAAGAATGAAATCTTGCCATCTGTAACAACAGGGATGGAACTAGAGAATATAATGCTAAGTGAAACAAGTCAGAGAAAGAAAAAAAATATGATTTCACTCATACGTGGAATTTAAGAAACAAAACAAATGAGCAAAGGGGGAAAAAAAAGGAGAGACAAACTAGGAAACGGACTCTTAACTCTAGGGAACACACTGCTGGCTACCAGAGGGGAGGTGGGGGAGAGGATGGGTGAGACAGGTGATGGGGATGAAGGAGGGCACTCGTCCTGATGAGTGCCCGGTGATGTACGGAAGTGTAGAATCCCTACAGTGTACATCAGAAACTAATAATATACTGTATGTTAACTAACTAGAATTTAAATAAGAACTTAAAGAAATTTGTACTATTTGTGGAAACTAATTTATTCATTTTCCCTTTCCCTCAATTCAAAAAACCTTGAAAAAGCAGTCCCCAGGAGCAAGGGTCACGCCTGGGAGCAGCTCCCACCTTCTCTCCAATGTCACGTGTTAATTGTAAAAAGAGGGGTTGATAAACAGGTTTGAGGAAGTTCTTCCCTCCTGAGCAACAAAGAACATTTTAAAAATAAAATTCATCAACTTATGGCATGCACACCGTGAACCAGTCTTGAATTCTTTGTTTTCACCTGATGTGACCCTTCATGTTCTCTGGATTATGAAATGAAATGGCTTCATTCAGAAAGCCCATGGTGGGAGCTGGAGCGTCACTACCAGTGAAATTCCAAACGATCCATAGGAACAGCCCAGTGAGTCATTCACACGGATCCATAGGCACAGCCTTGTGAGTCATTCACACCGTGAGACCACAGCCCCTGACTCAGCCCTATAGGAACGTGTTTCCTCCAAGTTGCCAGGAGCTAAGAGACACATAAAACCTCTATTATGAATCATTCCACAGCCATCAGTGTGCATGGAAGGCCCATCTGTCCTGCTTTGACAAGGCAGGTTGCTCTAAAAAGAGAACTTGGAACAAGAATGGAAATCTCCAAAACATAATGGAAAAAAAGAATAACTATACATGGGTGTTTGCTTATTTGTTTTTGGTTTTTGGTTTCTGGTTTGGTTGTGGGTTTTTTGTTTGTTTGTTTGTTATAGCCTCACTCTTCATTTGTCTACACCCTTCAAAAAATGTTTTGAGTAGATCTGGACTGTTGTCCATACTCAAGATTACTATTGGTTTAAATTTAATTATGGAAAGAACTCTTCATTGGACTTGTAAGACAGCCCCAAAGCAAAGGTGTTAACTGAAATAACCCAAAGCTCTTTGGCAAGGGTGGATGCTACTACCACCACCCCTGGGAGAGCATGGACTCACTGTCCTCCATACACTACCCAATCAATCATTAAACAGTTACTGGGCACGTAGTTAACTATGTAACTCTCTAAGTATTGGTTATGGAGTGAAATTGTTGTCATTAGATTATGTCCTCTGAGAATGGCTCCAGAAGGCCTCCAAAAGATTCAGAGGGACAACTGTACATAAATTTCCCAGGAAGAAAGGCCCAAAACCAAGAGATCACTACTGGGTTAAGTTTCTTAGCTAAGACACTCCTCTTAGATAAAGTGAACACGCAAAGACAGAAAGTGTAGCTCTGGAGACTGAGATGACTATAAGGCAGCTACATTTATTAATAGGGAGGGCAGAGATTAGAGATGCAGAAACCCTAGGTGATTCAGGAAGGGCTTGTGGGAGCCCAGGAAGAACCATCCAGAAGGAGAAGAACCAAGAGTCTCTGGCCCTGGGGTAGGCATCCAGGAAAGGATGCTGGAGACACCACAGACACGGAAGAAAGAGGGCCGCCTATCCAATGTTGCCTTGTGCCAGCCAGCTCCTTGAAACTGCCTGCAGATCATTGTGCAGATATGCACCTGATAGTAATTTGCTGCCAATTCATAAATTTTAGAGATTTCTTGTGGCTTTCCAACAATGCTCAATGGTAAAGGAGAAAGGAGTGTCCATCAAAAATGATGAGGACTCTCAAAAGGCACTGGTTTTGGTAGTTTATGTCCCACTCTGCTCTTGTGCTTAAATATCATCAGGATACATAGCACATTCTTCTATACTATACATTATTAGGAAAGCACAGCCTCCTAACAAAATTCTGAATATATGCCAGCATAGAGAAAAACAGAGCTTAAGCGTTGCATAATCCTTGCAACCGTATAAAGGGATCAGGCAGCTGAGCTCCAGAGTCCTAACTGATTATATGAGATTATTATGAGAGAGCATCTCATGACGGTGAAGAAAGAAATGACAAAGGGGAGAAGCTATGAAGCAATTCCTGTAACTATCATGGCAGCTACAGCAAGCCTGATCTAAATGCGAAGCTAATTTCATTGAAATTACAAGGTTTTTCTTTCATGTTATCCCGTCACCAACGGGAACAATTATTTATTTATGGCAAGCTATCACAGCAAGACATAGGGGAAAGTTTTCAATCAGCAACCATACTGCTTTGGATAATCTTCAGTCTATGATGATGCCACTATGCAAAGATAATAGCAACAATTAACATCCGTACGATCAACATTATCATAGAAGCAGCAGCTCATACAACGAACCAGCACTTACCATTATTATCAAATCCATGTGTAAACTCATGTCCAACAATTACTCCTATAGCTCCGTAACTCAGAGATCTACAGTACAAATATATAATTTGAAGAAAATTGCAAGCATTAATCTCAGAGCATAATCCTTTGATTTTTTTTTTCAATGAAAGCCAAGATAATGTTTTCTAGTAACCAC